GTCTGTTACTCTGAAACTCACACTGACAATCCCAATGATTTTGTCATGGATCTGTTGTTTACAACAGCAAATGAAATCAATATAGTAAATTCTCTGAAATGAAGAAATTCATGTGATTGTGATGAAATAAATACATGAGCACCAAAACATGCTATGATTACATTAATGTTGCCCTGTAATCAGTGGCTGCAGAAATTTTCCTAGAATGACTTTAATGTTCAAAAACAGAACATCAGTAAAAGGAGTGAATAATCTATCATCCCCACCTACAGGCCATATTCATTACTGGCAGCATTCTCTGAAATATTTGAAGAATTTGTGTATTAAGGATGTTACTTATCTTGAAGAAAATGCTTACTCCAAGTATTTCCTTAAACACAAACAGGACCCTTGCAGAAGAAGTGTATGGATTTATGAAAGGCCTCCGATTTGATAAGGCTTTATACAAATTTATAGATGAAGTCTTATATGCACTTTATAATAAAATTTCTGTCTATGAAATATGTTGTGACCTTGCTCATAGCTAAATTTGATTATGTAAACCATGAATTATTACTGCCAAAATTAAAACCATATGGAATGTGAAGTATAGGTAGACAGTAGTTTAAATTATACTGTAAGGGCAGGAAGCAAAATGTAGGAATGAAATCCCTAAATTTTTAATGTAACACCTAGTCAAGAGTAGGGTGTATTAAATGAGTTCCTCAAGGTTCAGCGGTTTATCTTTTGCTTTTATTGTATGCATTTATGATTGCCCCCAGCTATCATTTCTTAGTCAAAAGTCTGTAGTCTTTGCTGAAGGCTATTATTGATGTGTTTACATTCAAAGAGGACATTAGACAGGCATGTGGGTGGGCTGGATTGCGATTGAGGCTGTCTTGGAGTAACTTCCAGCAGCTTTGAACTGAAGTTCAACAGCATTTTTGGTATTCTGTTTTTCTGCCACAGAATGGTAAATATTCGGTGTAGTTAGATCCCATCTGCTATCTTAGTGACACTTCTCAGTGTAGCATGAGTAACTAGAATAGTCTGCGTTTTCTCAGGTATGTGCTCATATTGTATATATTAGCCAGTCTTGTCGCACAAGTTTTAAGTTTTATACATAAGAGTTCTTTGTAACATAGTTCTTGAAAAAACCTTCCTGTTGAAAATTTAGCTTTGGAATTAATGAGGTTATCAAAGGGAGATCTGATTTTCCATTCTTCCAATTCTTGTCAGCCTTGTGTTGCTGATCCATTGATTCACTTAGAATTAGAAGTATGGCTAGTCTTGATTTATCATATTACTATGAAAGGGTGTTCAAAAGTGGACCTGCAGTTTTTCAGTATAACCCTGACATCATGTCACTTTTGTATTATAGGTAAGAAAAGTGCATATCTTGTACAGTCATATCAGGAAGTTTTGAGAATCTTTCATGTCACTCTTTAGCATGCCAAAATATTGATGGTACATGATGTATTTGTTGGTCTTTTTCATCAGCAGTATGTCATTTCATTGAAAAAGATTAGAAAGACTCTAACTGGTGTAGAATTTTAATTCACGTGGGATGCCTCTTGCATTCTCAATCCACTGACACCTCCTGTGTGAAAAGATGGATATCACAAGAATTTTATGGATATTGTGGCACAGGCTTGTAGTACAGATTACACTCCACTTCATCTGCTGAGGTTTATAAGAGGTAAAGATGAAGGGAAAGTTTGCCCTACTCCCTGTCATAATGAGAAGACATAGGAGGCATGGATTTCGAAGATTCATATATGCATATCCTTTGCACTAGATGGACGCGAGTTATAGCTACTTTCACAGACTGCTCTACCCACTGCGGAAGAGCATAAGAGGCTGTGTGAACCTGTGGACCACTCTTGATGTGGTTGTTCAAAGAATTCCAAAAATGTCTTCTGGGAGGCAAAACCTGGATGTTCAGTGTATAGCTAGTTGGTTTACTGAGAGCTATAATTTCGCACATAGTAAAATAGGTGGGGAAAAATATGTATTTGAAAGTCCATTATTTTCCTCCTAGGAAAGCTGTAATGGCTGATAGAGGGAAATAATGAGATAAATATGTACCTCATGATGACAGTAATTAAGACTACTAGGCCGTCTCAGCTTCCTAACCAAACATCATAATATAGCTCTGTAAATAGACCATTCGGTCACTTAGGATGCTCGAATGTCTGAAGCGTGGAAATGCATTTTAAGGAATGGTGCTCTATAATGCCAGGAAAACTGAGTTATTGATTTCATGATTTGTATGTAATTTTGACTGAGATGGCCTTATGAATGATCTGACTTTAATTCCAATAGAAATGACCTTTAGTATAAGATTGTGTTTCAGTCCTTTTGAATAGGTGCAGGAGGAGAACTCAAATAGCCATAGCTTTTGTAGTTAATGATTTTTTAATTTATCGTTGATAATTGAGAGACTGGCTGTGCATATTTATATAAAATGAGAGCCTGTCAGTTGAATGTATTGTTGATAATTGGTTTAGACAGTATTTTTTATTATTATTATTAGTGGGGTGGTACTGAGTCCACTGGTACTGTGGCAACTACTGGCTTATTGTACTAACCTCAGATTATAGATGAAGGTGATTGTGGAGGAATTGGTGGAATGAAGATTGGCAGGTGAAACCAAAGTACTTGGAGGAAACCTGCCCCAGTGCCACTTTGTCCATCACAAACCCCACGTGACCAGACCCGGGCTCGAACCCAGGCTGCCATGGTGGGAAGCCAGCAACTAACCACCTGAGCTATTGCATGGCCGGTTTAGATAGTAACTGTGTGTATATATTAAATGAGAGCCAACTAGAAATATTGATGGGATCCATTATTATATAATCTTGTGGGAATTTGGTTTGGTCTCTATTGCCAAACTGATTCTGCATCATGCTTACCGAACAGATGAATTAAAACTTAAACGTTCCCTTTTACATGGTCTTCATGGTTTTAGTAGCCACAAGGAGATAAAAATATATGTAATAAAGATGTATTAATTTTTAACATACACAGTGTGTCCAGGTTCTGTTAGGACTGTGTTCATTAAAAATACAAGATGTGAATCGTTTTCAAAATTTCACTCTTTTTATTCAAAATAGTGTTCAGAATCAATACACAGATGGAATTGATTGAAAAGTTTTTGAAAACAGTCACTGTCCTCCTTTTGTGGAATTGCATTTAGAACTGCGGTACATACCCTTTGGATGTCCTGGATGGTGTCATGACGGTCTTCTTTCATCACCAACTTAACTTTTGGGAACAACCAGAAATCTGCTGGAGCCAAATCTGACGAATATGGAGGATGATCAAGGACTGATCCCATTTCTGGCCAAAAAACTGCTCAGGATCTTCGATTTGTGTGGTGGGACATTGTCGTGGAGGAGTGACCAGAAACCTTGCTCTCGATATTCAGGTCAAATTCGAAGAATTCTCACCCACAAACGATTGAGGACTCCGAGATAATAATCAGAATTCACTCTTTGACTTTATGGCAGAAATTACTTGTGAATGATTCCTTTGGAATCGAAGAAAACAGCAGTGTCTTTACTCGACTCTTTTGTATGCACACTTTTTTTGGTTTCGCCTTCTTTGGGCTCAATCATGCTGCACTCTGTTGCTTTTTGAGAGGCTCATATTGAAAACACCATGTCTCATCACCAGTAACAATCGATTTTGTAAATTTTATATCACTTTGGGCTGACTGTAACATGTCTTTGCAGTGTTCCACTCCAGCATGTTTTTCAACGCCTGACAGCACGTGCGGTACAAACCATGCACAGACCCTCCGTTTGCCCAAATCCTCGGTCAAAATTTGATGTACAGTATCCCAAAAGCTCCTCGATAAGTCTTGCAGAAACACATCTGTCTGATGCAAGGATTTCGGTCACTTTTTCACATTTTCTTCAGTGTGACTTGTTCTCGGCTTTGATGCACGTGGAGCGTTTTCAGTGTCCTCCCTGCTGTCACGAAATACAGCATACCATCGAAAAATGTTCGAGCGACTCAAACAGTCATTACCGTATGCACTTTTCATCATTTTGTACGCTTCTCCGGCTGTTTTGCCTAACTTCAAACAAAATTTGATGTTGGCTTGCTGTTCAACCGCCTTTTTCCAGTGAGCGTCAGAACAGTACTGTTACATTCAAGGTCAGAACACATGATGCAGCGATGCTTGTGCTTTGAAATTATAGAGAGCCACAGCTGAAACTTCAAGAATCTTAACGCCACAACTTGCCAACAGATGGCATTGCAGGGCAAATTTTAAAAAAATGAGTCGTAATGGATCCTGGACACACCGTGTACTTTGAGTTTGGTGCTTTATATTTGATTTTGATTACAAATCTTTTAAATGATAGCAATTTATATTCTCCACTGATTGGAATTCCAGGCACTTAGTATGATTTCAGTGCATGATTAGCATGTTTCATCATAATATTATCTGTTGTGAAACTCTTGACCTTCTTTCTCAGTTCTGTCGTAATTGTTACCATCGTAGCATCCATGACCCTATTTGCTGTGTTTTAAAGTGCAGAAATAATTGCCTTATCAAATGCCAGAATCAAGCGTTGTAATGTAATTGCCTCCCTTGGTACAAGAGAATGAAAGGTTTGAAGATGAATGAGAAGCTTCTTCTGGGAAGGATTGCATAAAAGTATAAAAATGTCAGTGTATATAACTGGCTGTATATGTATTACAAGTCATTAAGGTGCATATTTCTCAAAAGAATTAACATGTTTTTTGAATGTTTAAACAAATTTTTGACTTAAAACTTTGCCCTATATCTTGTTGGAAAGACCAGTGCAACTCACATGTGTGAAGGGTGTACAGTTTCTTTATTTTACATAGATGGGTAAACATTTCTGATGATCTTGGAGTCTGTTTGGAAAAATTTAGCACAAAATCCTTCATAGTCTCTTTCAAGAGAACTGGAGGAGGATTTAAGAGTGTCAGTTTTCAGGAAAAGTGTATATGAAATTTTAATTGCGTGTTGGATGTCTTCACAGGATGGAGAAGATACTGGTAGTTCTGTGAGTGCAACCCCACGTGATAATGCCATATCTTCTAATGAAAACTTTGAGTTTGTGGTGGTGAAGGATGAACCACAGGATGATATATCTGGTGGGGAGGAGGATGGTCTCAGCATTGAAATAACAGAAGGGTCAGTTATGATTTTCTTAATACTTCACAGTATGCTAGAAGAATACCTTCCTCATATTTGGTAAAATAGATTATATAAAGACTGCCTTCCATCCTCTCATTTCATCTTATAATAGAAAGTAACAGACTAAAAAAGTGTTGAAAGCAGTGCAAATTAATGAACATCAGTTTCAGTCTGTTGGCTGCATCTTAATCCATGATGTATTTATAAATTAAAAGCTGAAGAAATGGCCTACATCAGTTTTGAAAATATAATTGTAAAAAATCTAACTCAACATTAAGGCAAACTAGAGAACCTGGCAATCTGAACCAAACATTTTAATCCATTGTGCTGTAATACAGAGCCATATGGCCACAGTAAAGGACCAGATAATTCACCACAATACTGATTTGGATTTGTTCTGCCAATCCCCACCACAGAACTACCTGTTAGAAATGCTGCCGGAGGTTACAGTTTAAACTACCTCAAACCCCCAAGGGTTGCTTACTTTCATATCTTTATTCCAGACTTGTGGCTCATATGTACAATTTAGACCAAAATTTGCATACTAGAGCAGCTATGGGAAACCTTGTAATGCAGAACCCTGTCTGAAATCAGTCCTGATGAGCTAAGTTTTGAATATGTAGGACTATTTAATGTTCTCAGATCAGCAGTATGTAACCAAGATATTTTGATTACAGCAATTGATTATTGTAAATGGTAGCAACATCAGTGTCTTTTGTCATTATATTGTCTTCAGCTTTATTTTATTCTTCACACAGCCTACCTACAGAGTGATTGTTAAGTCATTGAACCATTTCATTTTATCATAAAATTAAAACAATTTGTACAGACCTCATTATTTTGCATTTAAGATGCTGTACACACAGGAAATACACAAGTTCTGTGCCATCGTCCCTGTGAGATGACACATTAGAGTTGAATGGTAATGTTCCATAGTTGAGCTTGCAGAGTTTGTGAGGAGACTTGAAATGCCTCTTTGCTGTATTGCCTCTTTTAGATCTTCACTTGTGCTAGGGCTAGTTTTGAATGTTTTATCATTGAGATTGCAGTAGAAAGAAGTCAGATATGTTTAAAGCAGATGACAATCATGAGCATGAAGAACTCCATGAGAGAGCACTCTGTTTCCAGATATTTCCTTCAAAATGTCCAATACAGTACTGGCCCTAATGCCATCTTGTTGGAACCAGACCTTGTTGACATTGTGACATGTGAATGCACTGCCAGGCTACAGCTCGATAAACACCCTGCAATACACACATGCAGCAATGGAACAATGGGGTTATGCAATCTGCTTCTAGGCAATGGCTTGGTAAATGCTTCCACGCAGATGCTATGATGTCACACTCCAACAGTACTAGCTATCATGGGACTTGTTTCCTGTGTTGTCTGTGCGGCGCCTATATAACGAAAACCTGTTTACACTTATAATGGAGCGTGAATTGTGAAGATTGAGTACAGATTAGGACAGAGGAGTACAGAGTGATTGAAGATGAAATAACAAGAAGACTTCATAGTGATTTGAAGTGCTAGTTTCTGTGTTGAGATCTGTTTCTACGAGACAACTATTGCAAACTGAGAATCCTAGTGTGTTTATATGTAACAGTGAATTATAAAGTGCAGAAACAGTGATAGCACTGCACGAATTGTAATTCAGAGAGAAAGTATAACCGAAGTGCTAATAAATCCAATTTTTGAAACTAGAACCCATTAATTTTGTCACGTGTACCGCCCTACACGTGACAGTATCAACACTGTAACTGATGGGGAAAAAGACCAGAACTCTTCTGCAAAACATTAAGGTAAACCTGAGAGAACTGACTGTGATTTCAATAATCACAGGTCCAAGTACTTGGAAGCGAACATCACTGTTTAATGTTTTGCTGATGCAAGGGATTGCCGTGAAAATCTCTGGATTTTTTGGATGAAAATGAGATCCACCTGCAACCATATTCTATTGAAAATATCTGCTTCATTCACAAAGCCTGACAACTTGTTGCAAAGAAGTAAATGTTTTTATTTCCATAAGTGAGTTGAAGTGTGCAGTTACTGTATTTTGTCAGGATATGCTCATTAGTTTAATCAGTAGATTTTGTCATTGTACTGTGTCTCATGTCATTCATCATGAAAGACCTAGCAAATTTTTCTAGGACTCCTCAGTAATATTATTTTTGCTTCATCCACCATGTCAGGCATGGCTTGGCATTCAACATGACCTTTTACCTGATCTGCTAGGCTACCAGTTTCTTCAAACTGCAGAAATAAATGTCAGACAGTATTTTTATTGGTTCTTTACATGAAGCAACTTCTGTACAGAATTTTCTCCATATTCTAATCATAGAATTTTCACTCTTGTAATGCCCTTTAACATTGAAAACATTTCTGCTGCACACTGTATTTCTCCATGAATTTTCGGTTACAAATATGGCATTCCAGTGCTGTCAACCTAAAATAAAAATATGTGCCAGGAGTCCCCTAAGTCTTCAGTTACCTGCTGCTAGCACTCCTGGCTTACTCTTGTTCACTGAAGGTGGCTGCAGTATGTTCTTCCATAATGTCAGCAGGCTTCTAGACTACATGGCATAACATTCCATAAGATAGTACTTTTCATAATCACTGCTCTGAGAATCTTATATTTCACACTATGAACAGTTGTCTTGTTTTTGTTGTTTTTTATTTTGGTTTTATTGCTATTCCAAATATGATTTGTCATCAACAGCTTTTCCCCATTCGAATTTATAACAATGCTGTAGTTTAACTGAAAGGACTTTTGTTATTGTGAACTTATTTGGTCATTCACACACATGCCAAATTTAAAAATACATCTGATCTCAACATACAGAGCTATACTCGTAGAATTTTACTGTAACTAATACTAACACAGCTCCAGCCTGGACTCATGTTATAGCATACCAGCATAATATTAAGTATTATTATTATTATTATTATTATTATTATTATTATTATTATTATTAGAGGGGGTGGGTTTCCCCATGCACTTAGACCATTTATTGGTCCATTGTGCGTCCCCCTTTAATTTCTACTGTCGCCATACCCTACCAGTAGTTGGTGCGTGCTATCAGCCCCGTTCAGTCAACGAGGTCGGCCGTTGGTACCTGATATTTCCCCCATCTACCAGAGGCATTGGAAACTACTTGGGCGGGAAATTGTTGCCTAATTTTGCTCAGAGGTCTCCTAGAGACAGGAGGATCTTTTACGTGCTGTAAATCTACGACACGGGACCCACGGCTTAAAGTCCCTCCTGGTGGACTTGTTCCCTGAATTCTTCCGCCTTTAAAAATTCCATGACCTCTGCCAGGTTTGAACCCGCATACCTTGAGTCATGAGGTGGGAACGTTACCCCTAGACCACAGAGGCCACTATAATATTAAGTAAGTAAAAGTAAAGGTATCCCTGTAACAGGCTGTGGAGGCCCGTAAAGTTATGAATGTTGAGGTTCCCACGTTTTCTAGACGGTTGGCTCCCAGATGGTGGTGAGGTTGTCAGCCTTATGTGCTGGCCGCCCTTTACCCCAAGAACATTCCAAGAATATTCCTGGTAGTCATTTCTGTTGGAGGCTGAGTCGACTCCAGGGCCATAGTGTGGCTGGAAGGATTAGGTCAATTGAAAAAATCCAATGACGTTATCAGGATTCAATTCTGCGACCGTCCAGCTTGTAGCATAGTGCCTCAACTAACTACGCTACCGCATGTGCATAAAATACAAGGGTTGGATAAAAAGTAGTGGCAACAATACTGTAACATGAAAAATGTGCATCAGGTGGCACTAGCGCCATCTGTAGCTGATAGCAGAAGTTCAGTTGAAGTAGTGCAGTGAGTAGCTCTGGTTGTGTTTCATTGAGTTGCATTGTGCATCGCCTTGAAGTGCAGGTGCCCAGTTCAAGCACCCTAACATCATGTGTACGATACAAGAACAACACTCCTGGATAAAAGTTTAAGTTGCACGAGGTTGTAGTGCACAGAACTGTTACCAGGGACTGCGAGAAGCATGTGGTGATGCTGCTTTGCCTATTGCACAGTGTCACGATTGGTGAAACTATTCCTTGAAGGGAGGGATGCCATTCAGGACGACCCCATGATGACAGCCACACAATTCAGCTTGTTGCTTCTTTGCTGGATGTCGATTGTCAATGGCCTGCATTGGGGTTAGCTGCTGAGTTAGGTGTATGTCACAAAACTGCTCCACATTCTGCATGATATTCTTGGATACCGCAAAATTGCAGTGCATTGGGTACCCTATACAATGTCCGAGGTGCAGCAATGGCAACGTTATGCAATTGCACAGGACTTGTTGGACCAGTACCAGAGGGGAGGTGACGACTTCCTTGGAAGGATTGTCACTCTGGACAAAACTTGGGCTTGCTCATACGAACTGCACTTGAAGCGACACTCAAATGAATGGAAGCATCCTGGCTCTCCTCGTCCAAAGAAAGTGTGACCTACACAAAGTAATGTGAAGGCGATGTTCATTGTGGCATATGACATTGATGGAGTGATACTGCACCACACTGTACTTCAATGACAGACAGTAAACACTGCCTACTACTGCAATTTCTTGTGTAATCATCTTTGTCCAGCACTCAGGAGAAAGTGACGACACTTGTTGACAACGAACCCCATCATCCTTCATGGCAATGCAAGGGTTCATACAGCTGACGCTGTCAAGGATCTCCTTTGCCGCTGGCGATGGGAGATACTGTAACTCACCCGATATGAATCCGTGCTATTATGATCTCTTTGCCAAACTGAAAGAACCATTGCGAGGGACATGTTACAACACAAGAGAGGAGATTATTCATGCTGTAGAGTGGTCAATGTTGGACATCAACAGAAGTGGACGCACTGATGGTGTACAATGCCTTCCACAAATTTGGCAGAAGGTTGTATACATGGGATGCGATTATACTGAAGGAATGTAAGTGTGTTTACCTCAGGTAATAAAGTAATTTCAGAACTATAGAGGTGTTGCTACTACTTTTT